AAGGCAGACGCTTAACGACTGAGCCACCCAGGCGCCCCTGACCTTATTTCTTACTTTGATATCTCTGATCCATTTGGGACTTATCCTAGTTTTTGGAATGAGGTAAGGGTTCAATTTGACCTTTTTCCAAATCGTGATCCAGTTGTTCCAGGATCCTCTAGTTGATAGGCTGTCCTTTCTCCATTTATTTGGGATGCCACCCTCACCATGTAACAACTTTCCATATTCACTTGGGTCAATTTATGGATGCTACTCTGTTCCAGGGGTCTCTTTACCCCGCTATGCCCTGCTGTTTTAGTTATGGCAGCTTTATTAGACTTTAGTATCTGTTAGGGTTCAAGACCTCCTCTCCCACTCCTACTATCCATTGGATTTCTTTGCCTAGGTTCTCCTGGACATCCCCGCGTGTTTGATTTTGTATACCAATGTTAAGAGTCAGCCAATTCAACTAAAAATATGTTATCACGTTGAAATTACAAACTAATTCAGGAACTCACACCTTTATGATGTGGTCTTCCTATCCATGCACATTTTTATCTTTCTTTTGTTCAAGTCTCCTCTGAGTTATTTAGGGGTAATCTTATCCAAGTTTTCCCTCAAGATTGTCCTTAAGGCTTTGCACATTTTTGGAAAAGTTTTGTCTAAGCATTTTATATTTCATTTTGTTGCTATTGTAAATGGGGCCTTCTTTTCTAACTGGTGATTTTTGTATACATGTAGACTATTGACCTCTGTGTGTTAGTATTATATCCTGTTACTTTTAGCAAATATTTTATCAAATTTTCTTAAGTCTACACTGGTTTATCTATTGATTTTCTTGAGTTTTCCAGAAATATAATCACATCACCTGCAAACAGACATCGTTCTACCTCCCTTCTTTCAAATTCAGGTTTCTCAAAGTGATTTATCTCATTGCTTTAGCTAATCTCATACCTTATTAAGTCATAGGAGCAAGAGTGGGCAATTTTGTCTTGTTCCCAATTTCAGTGGGAAAGCAAATTTCCATTAAGATCTTGGCTAAAGATATTTATCAATTCCTAGCCTCTTTAAAAATCTGAATGCATGCTCTATTTTGTTAATTGCCCTCTTTGTGTTTATGAGGAGGATCATATGCCTTTTCCCTCATTGGTTAATACAATAAATTGTATTGAACCATCCTTGCTTTCTGGAATGAATCCCACTTTGTTGTATTTTTTTTTTTTTTTAAATGCATCATTGAAGTCTATTTTACAATGAAATTCTGGAGGAACTTGTAGGGGGTAGAGCTCACAGTGGGCAGGCATGGAGATCTAGGAAGGTCTCCTTGAGACCAGTCAGGGAGGTCAGAGCAGTGGTATGGGTAAGGGTGAGCTGGGGGCTCTTTTTTTTTTTTTTTTAAGATTTTATTTATTTATTTGAGAGAGAGAGACAGGGAGAGAAGGAACACAAGCAGGGGGAGTGGGAGAGGGAGAAGCAGGCTTCCCGCTGAGCAGCGAGCCCGATGCGGGGCTCGATCCCAGGACCCTGGGATCATGACCCGAGCCGAAGACAGACACTTAATGACTGAGCCACCCAGGCGCCCCTGAGCTGGGGGTTCTTGTACCTTACCCAATGGAAGTATCTGGAATGCTTAAATCCATCTTGGAAGAAATATTTCAATCCAAATAGGCCTAGAACTAAGTTATAGTACATCCATACAGCTGGAACCTCCTTATGTGCCAGTATGGAAACATCTCCAGTTAAACTGAGTGAAGTCGAAGGCAAATCAGTATCTTCACCACTTGTATAAAAAAGGAGAAAAAAGGACATCGGAGCCCATTTGCTTTTACAGTATATGCCCCAAATAGTAGGTAACTCCAGGAAGGAGCTGCCTCCAGGGAGGGTGAAACTGGGTGGCTGGGGATGGTGAGGAAGTCTTCACTCTTCCGTTAGTGTTGTTTACTTATGAGCTTCTGCCAAGGTCCTACCTATCTCAAAAAATAAATACGTGAACACTAACTTGGAGCTAAAAAAATCAGATGAACCCAGGGGGCCCGCACAATTCTAGACTCCTGATTTCAGGGTAGAGGGGTCAGGGAGCCACTGCACCTAGCCCCTTCCTCGCCCAGCCCCCTCTGCGGGTGCCTCGGTGGGCCGGGCCCCAGACAGCGTCACCGTGTTTGACTGCTCCATGGACACGATGGTTCGGAGGGGGCTGTGCCGGGGCCGCGTAGAGCACCGGGCAGATGACTGTGAGTCGGCCATCCGCCAGCGCCTGGAGACATACCACACGCTGTGTGAGCCAGCCGTGACCTTCTATCAGCAGAAGAACCTGCTCTGTAATGTCGGTCCTCCCTGCTTGCCACTCACCTCCCACCCCACCGACTGACTTCCCAAGGGAACAAGACAGGGGTCATGCCGTGGCCCACAACCCGGACCTCTCTGGGCCTGTTTCCCCACTATGTGTACTGGGAAATTTGGGAACTTCCATTCCTTTGGTTGGGCAGCATGGGCACAGGCCGTGGCCTTCCGGCCACGACGTTTGAGGCCTAAACAGAATTACTATCTCCAAAGCTGCAACATTAAATACACTTTAGAATGTATCTACAAAATAGAAGGTTAGGACAATCTGTGAACCACAGCTCAAGTCCAGCCATATACATTCCCCAGAGGGAAGGTAGGGCTATCTTAATTCTTAAAGTGACACGTCTATGAAGACGTTCAACTTTGTTGTCCCCATTTCCCGCTGAAGGCGAGAGTGTGAGATGAGGCTGAAAGGAGGATGTCTTGTGGAACTAGTTTTGACCCACGAGGTTGGGGGGGAGGGCAGGGGGCCGGGTGAGGTGGGGGAGGCAATTCCCCCCACCTTCTGCCCTCCTATGGCCTGCTCCGAGGGACCGCACCTCTGGCTAGCTGCTAGTGACATGTAACATTGTGTTGCAGCCTTCCTGACCCACTTCCCTCTCCCCTCACTTGCATGGCCCTGGCACTGCACCTCGATTTTTTGCCCGCACTTAAATAGAGGCCTGCTAACCTGCTTCCCCCTTTTGGAGGGGTGGAGAACAGTGTCCCTGCTGTGACTCAGCACTGACCCTTCACTCCCCCTCCTCGAGATCTTGGCAGAAGCAGCTCCAGAAAACATTTTTGCTAAGTGCTGCTCCGTCATTGAAAGCCTGCAGTGATGGGAGGGGCTGGGGGCTCTGCCTTCGCCCTCACCCCAGAACCCACATGGGGTTCAGAAGGGGCGCAGTGCCTGTGAGGTAAGACATCTGGTGATGGCAGGCCAGGCTTTAATCTGAGCTGACTCCCCACGAGGCCCCAGACTGACAGCCCCTTTCTGGGCCGTGGCACCACAGGGGTGGGTTGGCTGGGGGCCCCCCCACAGGAGCAGGTTCCGGACCAACCTGGACAAGGCCTGGCGGGGGGGTGCTACAAGCTGTTGTGGGCTCCTGCTTGGGGCTGCCCTTGAAGCCTGTGGGCCCAGGCTTCTGAATGTGAAACCTGATCTGTGTTAGCGTTCAACTCTTAAGGCCAGAAAGAGCACTCCAGCCACACGGTAGGCCTCAAGATGATTGCCCCTGGGCCAGACAGCTCAGATGGCCCCTCAGTTCACTCTTCCATATCCGGTCCTCACCCTTGGGAGGCCAGAGCCTCCCACCAAGCATCGGAACCAGTGCCATTTTTTAACAGGCCTGGTTTCTGCATCGGGGCCCGCTGACAGACTAGGCCCCGGCCAGGTGCATATCAAGGCCAGTCTGACTCCTGTGAGGCACACACAGCCACGGGTTCGCTGTGGTGGCAGGCTGCATCCACGGAAACACCTGTCCCCAGAGCCTCTCCTGGGTGTCCTGCTGCCCATGTCCCCACAGGGAAAAGTGGGGTGGGGGAAGATTACTCCACTGGGGCTCACCCTGCTAGTCCCTTTTCTGCAAGACAACACCAGAAGAGCAGTCTTTGGGGGGCCCAGACCCCACTCTGATTGGCCAACCCTTGCTCCTCTTCAGCTTGTCTCCTACAAACACAACTGCGGCCAGCACGCAGTTTTTAGACAAAAAGCACTTTATTTAACCAAAAAAAAAAAAAAAAGGGGGTGGGGGGGAGTTAGGAAAGCACAATGCGCCTGCAGAAAACTATTTTTTCTTATAATTCTTTTTCTTAAAAAAAAAAAAGGAAGGAAGGAAAGCAAAAACACAACACAAAGCTTGTAATTTCCAATCACCATTATCAGGCTTTTACAACATCTATAAAGAACAAACAAACAAACATCTGCTTCAAAACTCTACAGGGGGCGGAGGAGAGAGAGAGAGAGAGAGAGAGAGAGAGAGAGAGAGAGAGAGAGAGAGACGGCACCCAGCAGACACGGGGAGGTTTTGTTATCATTTATTTGTGAAGTTAAAAACGAGCGATAAAAAGTAAAAACTGCCATACAATTTTTTGTTTTGTTCTCAATTTTTCAGTTTCAATGTCCTCTTGAACAGTTGAAACCCAAGACCAGTCCCGGGAGTGGGGGGCGGGAGGGGCTGCAGGGGAGCCGAGCGAGGCGGGGGGGGGGGGGGGGGCAGATCAAGGGGGCTGGATGGGGAGGGGGGGAGGGGGGCCTGCAATAGCAACACCTGGTCCAAGGAATGTTCCAACTCTAACTAAAAAAAAAGAAATAGCAAGAGTGACTTTTTTTCCTTTTTAAAAGTTTATTTTAAAAACATGAAGAGGGCCAGGGGTGGTAGGAAGAAAATGAACTGCTTTCCCCTGAAAGAGGCAGTTTCAGGAAGGGATAGAGATTTTTATATATATATATATAATTTTATAGGTTTTGTTTGCTTTTTGTGTTTTTTATATTTAAAAATTTTTTTTTTTTTGGCAGAGATTTAATTCTATCTTCTATGGCTGGCTCAACATGAAGGATCCCAATTTTGAAAGAAAAAAGCATGAGACACACAGAATGAGCGAGAGAGTGAGAGCCCAGCATCGCCCAGGCTGTGACCTCCAAGCCACTCACAGCAAGGGCCCCCCCAGCACCCCCCACAGCAGCCATCGCTCTCTCGCCAAACACATGAGGAAAAAAAAAAAAAGAACCAAAAAAAAAAAAGCCCCCAAACAGAACAAAATGGAAAAAAAAAATAATAAAAGATTTTCACAGATGAAGAAGTTCACATTCATTCGATTCATTGAGCCTGCGGAGAGGGAAGAGATAGGAATTGGTCACTACGGGGAGGGGGGAGGGGCGGGAGACTGGGGGGGACGGTGGCAAGGAGCGGGCCAGGAAGCCCCTCTCCCGCGCCTGTGGCGAGCTCGGGCTGGAACGACGTGTTTTAAGTGTCTAGTCTCGTGCTCCGGGGCCCTTGGCTGAAGGCAGACTGGCTCCTTGATGGAGGAGGGAGCAAGAGGGGCGTGAAGACCAGGAGGAGAGAAGCGGGGGCCGCAGAGGCAGAGCAGGGAGAGAGGGAGAAGCGCGCTCAGGGTCTGGGAGGGAGGAGGGGTGCCCTCTGTCTTCGGGAAGGCAGGTGCTCCGGCGCATCACAACATGACAATCTCAGAGATCACGGTGTCCCCACAACACCCCTGTGAGGTAGGTTGGAAGGTGGCGGCGATCGTCATGCCCACTTCACAGACAAAACCAGGACACAGAGGCAGGCGCGAGAGCGGAGGCGGCGGCGGCGGCGCCCAGGCCGGGCGGGAGGGGCCCTGCGGCCGGTCCCCGTGGCAAGCTCCCCGACTCCCACCAGAGCCAGGGCTGACCCACGCTGGGGCCGCCTGCAACACACAGTCACTTGGACACGGGGAAGAGATCGTGGGGTTAAAAATAAAAGAATGCAAAGAACAAAACCCAAAAAAGTAATGCAGACAGGGGAAAACACATCCGTTTTCTTCCCAAGTGGCCAGATTTTGAAAGAGCGAGTTAGCAGCCAGGATGGCGACCAAGGTCTGTGCTGCTGGCCTGCCCCCCCACCCCCAGGACTACCCACCAGTTCAACAGTTCCACCTTGTATTTGCTTCGCGCTCTCCCCCAGCATCGAGACAGCGTGACACAGGAACAAGCGGGCCGGCGCAGGCAGGCCTCTTCGTTTAACCTCTGGACCCAGCGCACACTTCCCCAGCTCGGGGGGACTCCCGGAGACCTCTGGCCACACGGCCCCCGCTGCAGGCATCAAGGACACACCCCGCAGGGGAAGGGATTTCCGGCGCTACCCACTAAGGCAGGATGGACGGTGGCCGGGGGTTGGAAGGAAAAAGGAGGAGGAGGAGGGTGGCAATTCCCACTTGCCTGCTGCTGTCCCTGCTGTGTGGGTGGAGGCTGGGGGCCGCCAGGACCTGGAGTCTGTCCGTAGTAAGCGGCCTGCTGTCTGTAATATTCAGCCCAGGCGGCACTGTAGTCTGGCTGGGAGCCTGGGGGGGCTCCTGGACCCCCTCCGGTGGCCACTTGAGCTGCACGGAAGCGGAGTCACGGTGAGCGAGCGCTGCCGGGCGCCCAAGGGCCTGGCCCTGCCCCTGCCCCGCAGCCCCAGCGGCTCACCCTGCTTCTTGTAGTACTCCTCCCAGGCCTTCGTGTAGTCCTGCTGCGGGGGCGCTCCGGGCTGCTGGGGCTGCTGGCCTGCAGGAGCAAGGCCTCGAGAGGTCAGAGAATGGCACAGGGGTGAGGGCTGCCTCTCACCAGCCTCCTGCCCTGCTCGAGCCCCTGCGGCGGCCCCCACACTCACCAATCTTTTTGTAATACTCTTCCCAGGCCTTAGTGTAGTCTGACTGGCCGGCGGGCGGGGGCTGTGGGGGCTCGCCCTGGGCAGGGGGGGCCGCGGGGGCCGGTGCAGGGCCGGGCACGGGGCCTGGGGGCTGCTGGTAGTAGTGTGAGTAGTAGGCGGCCCAGGCGGCGTTGGGGTCTGCAGCGGCTGCAGCTTTATCTGTAGAAGGGCAGTGGGCTAAAGGGCAGTACTGGAAGCCAGCCCCACCGCCGCCCCCCCCTCCACCTGGGCACACCCAAGCCCTGTCCTGCCCTTCACCTGGGCAGCCTTACTTACTTGGGTCATGAGGAGCAGGTGGTTGCCACTGGGGGTAGGTATTGCCCCAGCCCTGGGGCGGGTACTGGTGAGGAGGAGGACCCCCCGCACTGCGGGACAAGAAACACAGGGCAAGTGAGCCGGGGCCACTCCTCTATGCGGGCAGCGATGGCTGGTAGGAAGGGGGCCCAGGCCTAGCCCACTGCTTGTACTCAGTCACAGCCCCTTCGCCCAGGAAAAGGTGAGATAAACAATGCCAAAGAACACAAACTCCGTTGGCTTAAGGATGTGCAAGTCCCCCAAATTCAACATACACAGGTTTGCCTATTAGGTGGGAGACCAAGATCGACATCTGTGGTATCTTTTAAAAATGCCACCGATCGCAGAGAGGCTGGGCCGGATCGTGCCTCGGACCGCTGTGATCAGCACTTCTTGGTGCCGAATGAAAATGGGGTCCGCTGCTCTTCTTGCCAGCACAGCAACCCCCATGTCCCAAATCCCAGGACGCTGAGATGAACGAATACTCACTGCGGGGGAGCCCCAGGTGGCCCCTGATTGAAAGGCCCGGGGTTGAAGGGCCCCATGGGGCCTGCAGGGCCTGGTCCCCCGGGGCCTGGTCCAACGGGGCAGAGGGGACCCTGGCGGAAGGAGAAGCAAAGTCACTTGGGTGGAGGGAAGGAGACAGAGGAGATGGGTCCAGGCTCCAAGAACCCCTCCCTGAGCCCACCTCAATCTTTTCCTCAATGAGCTGCTTGGCGTGGTCTATCTGCTGGGGTGAGCCCCGGATGATGAACAACTTGAAGTTGGGGTCCCCATTGGGCGGCAGCTGCCGGGAGATCTCCACAAAGGCGCCTGTCTGCTGGTTTATGGCTTTCACGTTCTCACCACCTGCAGGGAACCAGAGAGAGTGAGGAGAAGGCAGGAGGACAGGGGGCTGAGGAACAGCATGAAGGCAGGGCCTACTCACCTCGGCCGATGACCAGCCCACATTTGTGAGTGGGGATGGAAAAGGTCATCTCTCCGCCCGGAGGGCCCCAGTTGCCTTGGCCCCTTCCTCGTCCCCGGCCCCCCGGGGGCATGCCAGGACCCCCTGGTGGGCCCGGGGGACCACTCTGTAAGACAGGGAGGAGGTAGAGAGTGAACGCAGAAAGCCAGCCTGGCCCCTGGACTTCTCCGGGAGGGCTGGGCCAGTCCCCTCCGCCCTCACCAGCCGCCGGCAGCAGGGCCTGGAGCCACCTACCCTGAGGCTCTGGAGGAGATCATTGATGATCCGCGCTGCATGCTCACACCGATCTGGGGGCCCCATTATGTGAGCTATCTTCTCAGGACCAGTCCCATCATCTGAAGTCAGCATCCAAAACAGAGAGATGAATTTTAAAGAAAAGCACAACACCAAACCCCCATAACACCGCCTCTGCAAGGTAGACACCATGCCAAGCCAGGTGTCAGAAATATCTCAGGCTCAAAGTGCCGCTCATCACACTCCATGTATCGAGGAGCGGGGCGGGGATGCAGGTGGGCCACGTTTCCAGAGAAGAAAACCGACCAACTACGGCAGGGTGGCAGCTGAGGCTTCCTCTTGCATGTGGCACCCCCAGAACAGATGCATTTCATGAAGCTAAGAACGACAATAGACCTCAGAACGGGTCTGCCACTTGGGAGACTCTCACTGAGGCTTGGCAGTAACCCAGAGTCGGGACAGAGTGATCTGATCCAGTCCAGGCTGCCCTGTCAGGATGGGCCATTCGGTGGGGCAGAGGAAAGGGATAAATTTGATGACAGGAAGACAGCAAGTCTGTCCTTCACGAGCTCTCTCACATGGTTCTCCCGTAAAGGAGGGAGACAAGGCACGTTCTGCCAGCTGGGAGTAACGAGGCACCACAGAGAGGCTCAACGGGCTCCCTGGTGCCAGGCTCTCTGCAGTGGAACCTCAGAGTGATCCTGAGAACAGAACTGGTAGACACGGCCACCACCCACCCAGCTAATCTTTTCAGCCAGGCCCCTGACCTTGCTTAAACTGTATCCGCACACCAGCGTCATTCTGGATCTTCTTGATCATTTCTCCGCTCCGGCCAATGACCACCCCGACAGAATGCCTAGGCACTGGCACCTGAGGAAAGAGAAACATGGAAGGGTCAACTAAATCTTGTCCCCACAGCTCTGGTGCCCTCTGCCCACCAGAGCATGAGTCACACCCACCCCATGGCCCTCCACTACTACAGGAAGCCTACACTCACATCGATGCCCCCGCCAATCCGGGATCCATACTCGTTCCGGTCCCCAAAGCCACCCTGGTCACGCTCCCGGAGGATGTCCATCACCATCTCACAGGCTTGCTGCAAACACACAGGCATGGTGTGCACAGGGCAAGCCCCCAACACTGTTCCCCCAGCCTCCCACGACCCAAGGGCTCATGGATCTAAGCTGAATCCACCGCAGAGCCCCGCTGAGCTCCTGACCTGCCATCCTGAGAGGGAGGGATGGCCAGCAACCCCCATTCTCCAAATAAGAAAATAAAAGATCATATAGTTCAGCCCTCTTGCTCATGTCCAGGGCTGGGAAGGAGAACTCAGTATGAGAGTGGGAGTCCTGGGCTGACTTCAAGCAAATGCTCTTGAAAACCTCTCCCCTTTCACTCAAATCTCCAGCCCTATCTGTTGTTCACTTCTCCAGATGCCCCGTCACCCCCAGGGTTCTCACCTGCACTTTGTAAGGATCCCCAATGATGCGGAGAGGCTTGTCCACATTTGTATTCTGGGAGCCATCTTGAATTAAAATCATCTTCACTCCAGCTCGCTCCTTTACAACCAATGCGGGACAATCAGTATCAGGCTTTCAAAGACTTTCTGGGACTACTGCACGCGAAGGGGCAGGTGTGATCACAAAGGATAAGAGCTCTGACAAAGCAGTCGGTGGGGTGTGCACGCGCGGAGGCAGGAGGGAGACTTTCCTAGGACAGGAGGAGCTTCTGTCCTCCACCCCACCCCTCACCTGCAGCTGCTTAATTGTCTCCCCGCCTTTGCCGATGACCAGGCCAGCCTTCCCCGCGGGGATCATGATCTCCTGCACAGTGCCATTCTGGCCTCCATTGGCATTGTCGTGGAACTGTCCTGGGGGCCCCCCACGACCCCGAGAGACAATGTCATCCAGCATCATCTTTGCTTTCCTGGGAAGGGGAAGAGCGGGGTTCAGACACTTGAAAGAGTACTGGTCTGACAGCCCCATCCAGCTCAAAGGGAAGGTGACTCCAACACGTGTGTCTGACAGATGATGAAGAGGGTCCGTCCCCAGGGCTGGGGCTATTCAGATGGTTTTCCCAGATCTTCGAAGTCAGGGCAATCAAAGCATCAGTACAGGCCCCTGGAGAGGGCAAGGGTTGAGGGACATGGTGGAGTCGCCCCCAACTTTCCAAAGGATGGAGAGAGCTTCTGTTTGCTCCCCTCATCACAATGACAGGCCCCGCCAGGGACTTACTGGACAGATTCTGGGGCTCCCGTCAAGGACACACTGCGCTCGGGTAGGCCACCGCTGTCTGCAGAGAAGAGAGAGGGTCAATGCCTCCCAGGTCCATGGACACTAGAGAGAGGCTTTCCAGGGAGATGGTGAAACTTGCACAACAAACAATGGCTACCTGCACCACCATGAGCAGCCTGACAAATCGCTACCTCATCAGACTTCTGGGAGGCTGCTCTATGCAAGACCAAGGCTGGGTAGCCTGAAGTCAAAGAGGTAGAACATTTAGGGAAAAGGATGAGGTGGAAGGTGAGGTCCCAAAGCTAGGCCACTCCTGCCACCAGCGATGATCACATGTGCACTCTCCACAGTCTACAAACCCCACTGGGTTAGAGCCAGTCCTCAGAAACCCCTGCCCAGCAGGTGCACGCAGCTGCGCAGCCAGACTGGGGTGCAAACCTGGGCCGGGTCTCAAAGCCATTCCTTCGAATGCATCTCCCTGCCTCACACATTCCCACTGGTTTCCTGTTGGGTGTTTACTTCACGTAGTGACTTAACTAACAGTTTAGAGCAAAACTTCTTATAGTCAATCTTCGATCTCCCACCTCGGCCTTCCCCCCCCCCCCCAACTGTAAAGCCAAAGAAAGCAAAAGTTGTAGCTACACTGCTGGACGCCATGCTGTACTGGCTGGGACTCTGCCCTGAGCCTGGCACTTAAGAGATAACTCAGTGACCACCAACCTGTCTCACTCCCGCCAGTCAGGGAACTGTTAAAAAAAAAAACGTACTAAGAGCCCAGCCCAGCCCAGCGCCCCGTTCTGACACAAATCTGGCTCTCATACCTGGTGAGATCTGGACTTTGCAGCCTGAATCCTGCTGGATTTTGTTAATCTGTTCACCACCTCTGCCAATGACTACATGGAGAGAAGAGAAAAAAAGCAGAGATTGATGAGCGTACTCCAGAGCCGAAAAGACCCTGTGGCAGGGGTTCCTGGTCCTCCTGAGAGCTCCACCTGCCTCCCCGCCCAGAGAGCACAGTACAGGAGGCCCTCTCACACCAAAAGCTCCTGGGCCAGCAGGTGCTCCCAGGACACAGTCCCCGAGGGACAGGGAAAACAGGCATCCCACAGCGAGCCACACTCACTTAGTCCCACCATGCCGTCTGGGACCCTGTACTCTTCTGTCATTGAAGTCCTGCAAAGAGAAACGATAACAGTCTTAAGTGAGGCAAAAGACACAGAGCGTCTCCAAGAGAAAAGGCCCCTCAAAGCCACAGCCCCTAACCTGTGGGGCCCTTGGTGCTACTGGCCTCTGCCCATGCTTCCCACCACATCTGGACCAAGACCCCACAGGCCTAAGCAGAGTCTGACAAGAGCACAGGGCTCCTTCTCCCCACAGCACGCCACTCAACATCTCAAGGCCTGTTTCCCCATGCAAGCCACAAGAGGCTGGGTCGGGGTCAGCGTGGCCCCACCGACTCTGGGCAAAAGCAAACGCTTGCACACTTTTACACGATTCTGACAATCATTTCAGGTCTCTTGACTTAAAAAAAAAAAAAACAAAACGGTTTGTATCTTTTCCATGTCCTCTCCCTAGCAAACCAATTTTACCGCATTTCTTAGAAGCAAAAAAAGAAACAGCGTGGTCCTTCACAAAGGATTCTACATCAGATCCACTGAAGTCATTGGGGGTTGGGAGAGGCGGCAAAAGGTAGGAGAGAACCCCAGGCCCCACCAGTTCTTGGGGATCAAGCATTTGCAGAAGACGGACGAGAACCCCACGGCCGGCCCCCGGCCCTTTTGGAAGATGGCTGTCTCCTGAAGAGTGTCCCACCACAGTGCAGGCAGCAACAGGGCGCAAAGACCGCCCCTCCCTGGGCCCCACACACAGGCGCAAAGGCAGCTCTTCTGCCTCCTGGGCTTCTCTGTGGCCAAGCAAGCAGTGGGGACAAGGTCCGAAACGGTGCAGCCTCCAGACACAGCTCTCCCCCAAGTCAGCAAGAAAGGACAGAGACAGTTAACAAGACAAGGAAACGAGTGTCCTCCAAATCACAACTTACCTGGGGGGAGGATGGATGGGTCCAAGTTGAGAACTGATGGCTGCAGAGAGAAAATTCAAAGCAAAGATTGGCTTGGATTCTCTTTGGGACCCTGAACACTGCTGGCCCCCAGGTACCCCTGCCTGCCCGAGGAGCGGCTGGCACTTATCACGGTGCTCCCGAGCCTTCCTGAGCACTTGAGTGTGATGAACCCGCCTCACATATAACTGTCTGCCTCAATCTCCAGGGGGCTCTGGGATTCCTAAAGCTCATGGACCCCAGATGATAAGCACCTAGAGCCTCCATAAAGGACAGGTGCCATCTGCTTAGAGCTTCTAGCTCCCAAATCCTAAAAACCTCTTAAAATCCTGAAGCTGCCCTCTGCCTGCACCATCCAATGGACTTACAGTCTCCCTGGGAAGCCAGTTTCTTGCTCTCCGGTTGGTCTGTGAAAGAGAGAAGATGTCAGATGCTACACCCACCCACCCACAGCTGCCTCAAATCTGATGCTGATGCCACACGGCCTGGTAAACAATCCCCCTCCCCCACCCCCAATATCAGAGCCAAGACAGGAGAGTAGCAGGGACCAACCCCGGAGGGGGGCCAGACTTCCATCAGTCCCACCACTAGCACTTAAGAGTAAAAAAGTCCTTTATAACAGGAGCAATGATGGTGGCACTCGAGTCCAGGGTCCGGGAGGGCCCAGGTGTAAGTCCGGTTTTGGCTGATCCCCACATTGATCGTTTTGGCTACTATGGGTAGGACTGCATGCCCTGGGGCCAGCCAAACTGCACTTATGTGGGGCCTCAACAAAACTGCGAGCATTTCCCAAGCCTACCAGAAGGGGAGGAACAATCTCGAGAACTTACAACTTGGACCTAGTCACAATCAATCTGCTCCTCTCAGCCACCTGATACCCCAGGATGGCAGCCCGAACAAAAAGAATGAACAAAGCTGGGATTGCTGAGGTTTTAAAAGACCAAATGGCTTCCCTCTGACTCTGAACCACGTTCAAACAAAGGCACCTCACTCTACCCCCAGGCCTTCTTCCCAGCAGGTAGTTATAGTTACCTCCATCTTCTAACTGCCTCTTTTGGCCCCCAAAACCAAAATCAGGAGTGCTGTTGTTCACTGTTGTAGCAGCGTCGCCTCCAATTTTGGCTGCAATCTAGAAACAAAATCGTAAGCACAGAAGGTTACCACCACAACCAACCTTCCCTGGTGCTCAGATCAACTTCTCAGAACGTACCCAAGGGCCTCAGCGTTCAACAGTCATCCAGGAGTTTCAAACTCCCTTTCTAGTTGGGATTTATGCCTATGTTGTTTGCAACTGGGCCACAATCCACACTGACTTGCTCTCAGGAGGGTCCTCAGGTCGCCTCCACGAGGGAGGCAGGAAGTGTGATTGTAGCCTAGCTCTCCTGGGATGGTGAAGAACACAACTTTCCTTTATCTCCCTCACCCTCAAAATCTTTGCGTTCGTTGAACAAATTTTAGGGAAGTTTTTGCTTAAAAGCATCCGAAATCTTCATTCCACCAAAAGAAAACACCCTTTCTGAGAACACAAGTTACATGTCAGACATGTGAGAAGCAATTTCAAAAAACCCCAATCCCACAAATTTAAGACCAGAGTCTGTGGGATCATTACAAGTTTTCCAAAGACGCACAAACCTGTGTGTCTCTTTGGGACCCTGAACACTGCTGGCCCCCAGGTACCCCTGCCTGCCCGAGGAGCGGCTGGCATTCACCACGGTGCTCCCGAGCCTTCCTGAGCACTTGAGTGTGATGAACCCGCCTCACATATAACTGCCTCAATCTCCAGGGGGCTCTGGGATCCCTGAGTTAAGGATCTTTCCACCTCTCCCAAATTTTTTTTCTTCTAATACTGTGAACCAAAGCTCTTGGGACGAGGCCTTTTCCCACCCCAGCAAAGAGCATCACCTCGGCTAGTTACAACTGCTTCTCCAACAAGGCAGGTTGGTGGGCAACCAGATCAAGTGCACGTTAGAAGCCTATCCTGCTCCATAGGTGAGAAAGCCACAGACCACACTGGGCGGGAACAGGGCGTTCACCTAACGGGACCTCCCACTCTGCCCTGGAGGCACTGGAACAACCCAAGGAAAGCACTCAATCGCAAATGCACTCAGCCGGCCCCCAGACAGTCGGCTTCCTGAGAGGGCGGCAAAGTTCTCCCATTCTAACAGGCCTCCTGCCCTCCAGGACGTGGGGAGGCCACAAGAGGAGCTGAGGTCAGTCACACCGGCATGTGACACCTCCATGGTATCCTCACGCCTCAAAACACAGTGGTGGGACCCTCCCCTCTTTCCCAAAGAGAGACCACCTTTCAAGCCACCGGAAGCATCAAAAAGAGCCAGCCCCTGTGCCCACCCTCCCCATTTCGCCTAAGCGCTCGGCCACTCTGGTAGCAAGGGTTCCCCCTTTGCAGGCTCAAGAAAAAGGGCTGTTTTCCTCCCAAAGTCCCTTCTTCCCGGCGGGCGGGCAAAAAATGCGACTGGGTTGGGGGCAAACAGAGCTCTCTGCCCTGATGGGAAGGTGAGGGAAAAGCAAGACCCTCCCCCCCGGGAAGGGGAACACTTTGCTTCCTAGAGAGGAAATCGTGCCCTCGGGTGTCCTAAGGGGGGGGGGTTCCCCAAAGTGAGTCCCAGCCCTCCGGGGCCCCTGAACATCCAGGGGCCGCTCCTGGCGACCCCCCGGCCACCCCTTCCCTCTGCAGGGGGGGTCACCCGCTGGGGGCCCACTGGAGACACCCTGGGCGGCCCAGGCCCCCGCCTACCGCCCCACGTGACCCCGCGGCGGCCTCGGGCCGCCCCCCCGCGACCCCGCGCGCGCGCGCGTGACCCCGCCCCCTCCCCCGCGCGCGCGCGCCCCTCAGGCCCGCGGCCTCCTCACCTGGCGGGCCCGCTGCACGGCGTCGGCGAAAGCGTCCTTGCGGATCCCCGGGCCTCCCCCGCCGGGCGGCTGGGAGGGACCCCCGGCCGACCCCCCGCCGGGGCCGCCGCCGGGGCCGCCGCCGCCCCGGTCCCCCGCACCCGGCGGGCCCGGCGGAGGGCCTCCCCCGGCGCCCCCGGCTCCCCCGGCTCCCCCGCCGCCGCCAGCGGGCGGCGGCGGCCCGGGCGGGGGTCCTCCCGTGCTGTAGTCCGACATGGCGCGGCGGGGCCGGGCCTGGCGCGGAGGCTGAAGCTGAGGAGGCGGCGGCGGCGGCGGCGGCTCAACGCGGGAACAAGGCCTCGCTCCACACGGCCGCGGAGCACTCTGGGAACCCAGCGGCTGGGAAGACGACGAGGGGGGAGAGGGACGCCTCCTCCCGCCGCCGGCGTGACGGACGGCGCAGCCAGGCCAATCGGAGGCGGCCGCCGCTCCTGGGACACCAATCGCGGGCTCTCGAGGCAAGCGGCCAATCGGAGTGCCGCGAGAGGCAGTGGGCGGGAGGCGCCGCGTGACCGACAGCTCTCGGAGGCAGTGGGCTTCGGGCTGCCGGTGCTGGGCGGGCAAATCGAGGCGACCTGAGAGGACAGGAGGCCCAATGAAGCGGGAGTTCCAGAACTACGGGGCGACTTCAGAACTGGATTGACGACTCCGGAGAGTCAAGTGGACAGGAAGGAGGGACCTGGGGAAAGGCCCCTTTGAACAGGCTGGGCGGGCGCCAGGTGAGATAATCATATACGCAAGCCAATGAGGACACGCAGAAGGCGGGTCTTGCGAAGATTGGCAGTCAACTCAATCCAATCCCTGGCGAATTCTGGGTGACGCGCTTAGGTTTGGAGTGGATTGCTTTCCCTGTTAACCAGAATCCTTTTCTAGCCTTGATTTCTAAGCCAATGGCTGGGCGGTGGGGGCGGGTGCAAGGTGACGAACACCGCTCTGGACAAATGGCAGGGAAGGAAGTAAAGGGGCCCCGTTTTGGTGGGAGCCAGTGGAAGCGTAGCTGCATTGGGGCGGAGCCGGCCACCAGACGACGAGAGGGGATTAGCCGTAGCGAGAGTGAATGGCAGTCGACGTGGGCAGTGCCGACCGGCTGAGGGGAATTCAGGCCTGACGTCTAGGTTAGCGCCCCAGGAGCCTGGCTGGGCAGGCCGAACACGTGGCCAGCTCGAGGCCTTGGAGATCGGATGCTTCCGGGGGTGGGGTGGGCCAAGAGCAGGAGGGAACCCAGGGAGTGCCCCTCTCTTCTCCACCCAGGATTCTAGAGCCCCCACTTCTCTTCCAGGACTCATGGAACCAGTTTCCCTCCAGAATTCAAGGGTCTAGGGCCATTGGTTCTCTCCTAGGACCCTAATTCCACACCCCACACCCTCTCCACATAAGGTCTGGGGACCTGAGCTCCAAGCTCCAATCCTAGGCCCTCAGTTTCTCTCCTGAACCCAGGCGTTATGGAGGTTTACAAGTCCTACTCAGGACCAAGGGGCCCAAGATAATCCAGGCCTCTTTCCGAGACCCAGGGATCCCAGGTGCCCAGCTTCCACTCTTGGGACACAGATATCCGAAGCACCCAGCTCCCCATTAGACATAGGGTGTTCCAGGTCCCTAGCTCACCCCCTGAAACCAAGGATTCCTAGTCTAGACCCAGAGATTCTAGATACCCAGCTCCCCTCCGGGACGCAGGTATCCCAGACACATCCAGCAGAAACCGTCTCTTTATTTCAGGTTGTCTCCACGTCTACCATTTCACCCTGAAGCTAGGACAAGCCACGATGAGCCAACCTGGAGTCCAAACTAGTCCCTGGCTGCACCCTCGGGAAGGATCCCCAGGGATCTCCTGACCCAGGCACCGAGACTGCTTCTCCCGACAAAAACTGCCCCCTCCTCCGGGCCTGAGCCTGGAGGGCTCTTTGGGCCAGGGGACCCTGGATCCTCCTGTCCATTTCTGCCCAGGGTGTGTCGACTAGCCACTGCCCAATACACCCAGGGTTTTCTTCATGGCTTCATACACCACGTAGCTGATGCCACCTGCTGGCAACACCTTCAGTAAGGTGGGAGTCATGCCTCTGTACAGCCCCTGCCAACCCTGCTGGGCCAGGATCCCCCGGAAGACTCCGTGCATGGCGGGGTTTGAGCCCTCCACAGTGTCTGTGGGAACAGGGGCAAGCACAGGGCTTCTGCCAGAGATGATCGGGGCACCCGGGGCGTTGGGGGGGGGTGCTGGAATGTTGGGAGTTGGGTGAAGCCAGGGGCTGGGGTCTGGGGGTCAGTGTTGGGAAGGAGTTTGGAAGACTTAGAGGAAATTGGTCAGTTTGGGGAGAGTGAGATCAACTCAGGCAGGAGTTTTCAGGATTTCTTTTCAGGAACATCTTAGAAAACATTCATGCTTATTTGGGAGGGAACTTCTAAGATCTGCCAGAGATTCGGGGAGTGTGCTAAGGGATGGTTTGGGGATATTTTCGAGATTAGGGTAGTGGACCAAGGACTTGTTTGGATGTTTGTGAATTGGTTTAGGGGCTGAGAGTCCATTTGGGGAGTATACAGGGTAGTGGGGGAAGTGGTTATGACATTGGGATGTCTAAGGGTCAGGTTTAGCAAATTTGGGAATTTTAGGAGTACAGGCTGGGTCTGATTTGGAGAAGGTGGGCAAGCATTTGGGGAATCTATGTCTTGAAATATGGTGTGGGGGCCTGAGTTGAATTTGGGGGGTGTTTGTGGGGGTCATTTGGGAGATGTTCATTTCAGTGGTTTGTAGGGTTAATTTTGGGGTTAGGGTCAGATTTAGGGGTGAGTCTTGGTAGGTTTAGAGGTCAGTTTGGGAGTCACTTTTGGGGGACGAGAAAGTTCAGTCAAGGCTGAGGGGAGGAGCATGCACGGTGGCCATTGGGGCTGGTCTGACCTTGGGCCTGCATCCTGGTGTGCACCAATGTCAGCGGGTAACTGGCCATCTGGCCACAGGTCGTGGACAGCGTCACAGATGACAAACTGACCAGGCCACTGGGATCCTCCATGTTCCTGCCTGACTTCAACCAGAAGCACGTGAGTGTCTGCAAGAGAAGGGGGTCAGGAGGCAGTTTACTACGGGCCTGTGTCCACACCACCCCTGGCACCCCTCTGTGGGACCCACACCTCATAGACGGCCAGGTCCGTGCACGCGTAGGGATTGATGCCGAGCATGTTGGGCAGGTAGCCGCGGTACGGGGCCGTGCCTGTCCGCGAAACAGCACCTGCCACCGCACCTGCCGCCAGCTGCTTCTGAAGCCCTCCTGCTTCAGGATCTGCCTTGCACAGTCCAGCAGCCTCTTGTACTGGGCCCGTCCGGCGCAGGGTCAGCCGTGTCTTCAGCACCTGGGGAGGACGAGGCGGGAGGTGGCTCATCTGATCGAATGCTCTCACCGACCGTCATCTACCAGCCCCCAGTGGCCACCCTGCATGTCCCTTTCTTGACCCTCAGCCGTGGCCAGCATTTCCGTCCTACAGCTGAGGAAATGGAAGGTCAGGAGCGCAGAGAGCTGAGTTTCCAACCCAGAGCCATGCGATCCCTTGGCCTATGTGTGCTTTCAGCCCAGGATTCAGAAGCCCGAGTGCTGACGGAGGCCAAGAGGATAAGGGAAGTGGTGTGGACTGAGCGGAGTTACAGCTTACACCCAGCAGCAGCCAGACATCATGCCACGGGGGTGCAGACCCCACGTGGTGGCCAGGTTTGCCAATTTTCCAAGAGAAGCCAGACATAGTCATTTGTACAAAATACCCCAACATCAAAATGTTGGCAGCTCTACAACTGCCCCCAAAACCGAACACCCAGTGTGGTAGGCAGAATTCTAAGGTGGTCCCCAAGTTTCCCACCCCTGATATGTATGCTCCATATAATGCCCACCTCCCCTCCCACCCCGACCTTGAGAGTGTGCTAGGCTGGGACTATGACTGGGTATCACTCCCCTCGTAAAGTTACATGACTTGAAGTTACATTTCCTGAAAGTGAAGGGACTTTGCAGATGTATCGGGTCCTTAAGCAATTTTAAGTGAAGCAAGACCAGTTGACCTGGGTAGGCCTGACCGAATCAGGTGAGCCCTTTAATAAAAGAGTCTGTTGCCAGAGACAGAAGAAATCAGAGCGATTGGGAGTATCCAGGACACTCTTCAGTTGGTCTTAAACAAGCTGACTGTTGCGGAGAGGACTACATGGCAGGGACGGGGGGGGGCCTCTAGGAGCTGAGGACCTTAGTCCTACAACCATAAACTGAATCCTGCCAACAACCAAGGAACTTGACAGAGGACCCAGGCCTCTGGTGGGTTCACTGTAGCCCAGCCAACACCTTGATTTTGGCCTGATGGAACCCTGAGCAGAGGACCTGACTAGCCAGTGCCCAGGCATGACCCACAGACAAAAGATAATAAATCTGTATCCTTTTAAGCTACTGAGTCTGTGGCAATTTGTTACACAGCAATAGAACACAAATACACTTAAGAGAAAATTTAACTAGTTAAGGGCAAGAATTAGATGAGAAAACTTTAAAAGACCATTAAAGTACATAAAAGGAGACTTGAACAAATAGAAATGATCTTGGATACCAGAGCCAGCCTCATAGATGGCAGGAATCTCTAAGCTTATTTATAAATTGAATACCATCCCAGTAAAAAATACCAATAGGTGACTTTGTTTTCTGAACTTACTAGAGGTAAGTTACTTCTAAAGTTTATATGGGAAACCACGGGGGGAGTAACCTGGAAGCCGATGAAGAAGAGCAGGGATGGGGGATGAGAAAGCATAAGATCAAGCCTCGAAAATTAAAGACAGAGGGTAAAACTATAGGGATGCCCAGCTGGCTCAGTCGGAAGAGCATGTGACTCTTGATCTCGGGGTTGTGAGTTCTAGCCCCACGTTGGGTGTAGAGAGCACTTAAATTAATAAAATTTTTAAAAAAGAAGGTAAAACTAGACAAACGATTAGGGATTCAGGGGAGAAGCAAGAAGGGGTGAGTAGGTGGAGCAGAGAGGATTTTTAGGGCAGTAAAACTACTCTATATGACACCCTAATGGTGTGTACGTGTCTGTATACATCTGTACAAACTGCAGAATGTACTACACCAAGAGTGAACCTAAAGGCAACTATGGGCTTTAATAATCATGTATTGATATTCGCTCATCAGTTGCAACAAACATCCCCTGCCCGCCCCCCACCCCGTAGGATGTTAATAGCAGGAACTGTATATGTGTATGGGAAAACTCTGTGTATGGGAGAGATGTGTATGGGAACTCTGTACTTCCTGCTCAATTTTTCTGTGAATCTAAAACTGCTGTACAGGGGC